GGATGCAGGTGAAACTGTGTATTTGTCCTGGCATGGACACACACAGGAAGGATGTGGTTTTCTCCCGCTGCACCATGCTGACTCTTGCTGCTGGCTGCTGATTTTGGTTCCCAGTGATTGACTGTGCCACACAAGTCATGGTACAAATCTCCCCCCAGACTGGAAGAGGGAAGCAGCAACCTTCCAGGCAGGCAGAGCACAGCGTGTTACCACCTCAGCATTCGCCCACAGCGATGGGCATTCACTTGCTTTTCTACCTGCCTTGGTGCAGGCCCCATGTAGGGTGCCAGGAGGAGGTGATCTTTACAAAGAGCATTTGTTGAGGTTTTGGACCAGAGCTTTGTCAAGCTATGGTGTTGATTTGCCTTGCTGCAAGTGCTCCTTGGGAGCTGGTGTATTGTAACTCCATTCTGGCTGGTCGCTGGCAGTGACCTTCCCCAGCACTGCTGGCAGTAGCTTTTGGGCTGGCCAACTCTCAGAGACTGGCCATGACTGCCTGTTAATTACAAACCTTATTGGAAATGTAATGAAAGAACAGCCTGGTTCCTGGGGCAGGTGGGATCCAGCCGTGAGCACAGTGAGTGACCTGCTGAAGCTGGCTTGGCACCTACAAGATGATAGGATGCAGAACTTGCTGGACCAGGGTGCCAGAAGGGGGGTGCACTTGGGTGTTCAGTGCCTCTGAGCATCCCTTTGGGGATTTTGTTCATCTGCCTGGCCCTGCTGTTCCCAGCCTTCAGAGCAGTGCTCGCTGCTGGATTGGGATATCCAGTGGGACAGACGGTGGCTTCCCTCTGGACAGCCGCTGCAGTGAGCCCCTGCTCGAGCGCGCTGCATGGGGAGGGAGGTTGGGAGGGCATGGTCCCCAGGGATAGGCAGCGTTTCCCCCTTCTGCTGCAGGTTTCTGGGCCAGCAAAGCTCATGGGCTGCCCCTGCCACAGAGGGGATGAGGGTGGAGGTGCCCGAGGGCGGAGGTGCCTGAGGGCTCCTTCTCACTCTGAAGGTTTTGTACCACAAGCTGTTGCTGGAGCTGACTCTCCTCCTTGCTCTCTTCTAGGCATCAGAGCTGTGGTTTTGGTGGATTATGACCTCAGAGGAGCCGTGTTGCATCTGCGGAATTCCGTTGTGGATCAAGGCCACATCTGAGCAGGTGAGTGCTGTGCACATGGAAGGACTGTTGTCTTTGCGCTGGGGGAAGCTGGTAGGGGGCTCTTATGGCTCAGGGCTCTCAGGATCTTGGTTTCTGCCTTCTATGCCAGGCGTCTCTTATTGGGAGAAAACAATTGCAAGATCTTCTCCTTGTCTGTAGGGTCAGAAAGTGTCCTGTGCTGTGGGTGAAAGGGGCTGGAGGTAGACATGAGACCAGCGGCTAGCTGGAGACCCAGAGGTTGCTGGTGATCTGCAGTGTCTTGGAAAGCAAGGCATGAAACGGTCACCAGAAAGAAACTGGAATCTGTTGGTATACACAGGGTTTCATACAGGAATGCATGCAAAAGGCCTGTAAAATACAAGCCAGATATGAGAGTTCACAGCTTAACTTAAAGTATTTGTGGTTTAAACAGAAATCAAGGTGATAGCACTGCCTGAGATGGCTGAGATGTATGTGACCTTTGAGTTTGGGAGGCTGTTAGAAGCTGAGCCTCAATGCTGCCTTCCCTGCCTGTGTGACCCCCCAGACAGGCAGTACTCTCCTGCTTACTTCTGGAAAGCATCTGAATCACTCCAGCCCTGTGTCTCCCACTTTCCTTCCCCTCAGAGTCACTGTGGAAACTGAAGAGCTGGAGAGGACAGTGCAGAAGTTCGGAGGCACACCGTGATGGTGGGAGCCATTCCACGGCAGCCACGCCGCTTCTGGGGGGTGCCTCGCTGGCAGGTGTCTTCAGCTAGTTGTGCCCACGACCGCCCACTGCAGGACAGGGAAGTTAATCCGGAGCAAAGCGGGGTTCTGCTGCAGAGGGGTGAGTGTGGGGGCCAGCCAGGAGAGGTTGCGGTGTGGTGGGTTACACAGAGGGGTTGATATAGGCAGGGACCTCTGGAGGTCATCTGATCCAACCCCTCTGATCAAGCTGGGCCACCTTGAGCCATTGCCCAGGACTATGTCTAGACATGTTTTTAATATCTCTAAGGATGGAGACTCCACAACCTCTCTAGGTAACCTGTTCCAGGGCTTAGTCACCCTCACAGTAAAAAAAGTGTTTCCTGATGTTCAGAGGGAACCTCCTGTGTTCTATTTTGTGCCTTTTGCCTCTTGTCCTGTCATTGGACACCACTGGAAAGAGCTTGGTTCTATCTTCTTTGCACCTTCCTTTCAAGTATTTATGTACATTGATAAGGTCCCCCTGAGCCTTCTCTTCCCGAGGCTGAACAGTCCCAGCTCTCCCAGCCTTTCCTCACAGGAGAGATGCCCCAGTCCCTTAATTATCTTAGTGGTCCTTTGCTGCAGTCTCCCAGGTGCGGCCTCACCAGTAGTGAGCAGAGAGGAGGGATCACCTCCCTCGACCTGCTGGCAATACTGTGCCTAATGCAGCCCAGGATACCGTTGTCCTTCTTTGTGGCAAGGGCACATTGCTGGCTCCTGGTCAACTTGATGTCCACCAGGACCCCCAGGGCCTTTTCTGCAAGGCTGCTTTCCAGCTGGTCAGCCCCCAGCACGTCCTGGTGCATGGTTATACCTTTCATCACTCCTTTTAAACAAAATCCCTGGGCTTAACCACCCTGGCCTGCTACTTTCCCATTCCCATCACGGCAGGGTCAAAATACCATGCACAGCCTCGCTCTCCAGATAGCCTTGAGCCACTTGGAGAACCAATTCCCCTATTGCTCACCTACCCCTAAGCCTTTGCTCCACAAGAGCAGGCAGAGCTGTGGGGAGAGGGAAAGGGCAGAGCTGCCAGGCATAGGCAGCTTGTCAGGCTCTGGAGCTCCTTGGTCTGCTGGTGACTTTTCCTGCATCTGCTCAGCTCTTCCAGCCATTTCAGAATTTATCATACCAGAAAAACTTGTGGCCAGGATTCTCACAGCTCTCAAACTGAGCTGAAAATCAAAAGTGAGGTGCCATGCAGCATGGAGAAGGTCAGGCCCTCGGGGCAGGCAGGACTGGGTGGATGTTACAGGAGCCCATGGTGGGCTCTGCAGCCCCTGGTACCACCCAGCTGCTAATTGAGGTGGTGGAGGTCCCTGGTCCAAGCTGGCAGAGATAACCAGTCCCTGCTATGGGGCTGACAGCGTACGGTACCAGCCCTGCCTCATTCAGTGCATGCGGCTGGGACAGGTTGTCTTGGCGAGCGCTGGGAGATCTTCTTGCTGTTGCCCAAAGGGGTGATTACAGGCCAGAGCCCCTGGGACTGGTCTGACCTGCCTGACTCCTGTGCTCCGGAACAGCACAAGCACATCAAGTCCCTGGCAGAAGGCAGGCCCCCTTCTCTCCACTTGTCCAGACTTGTCCCTAGGAGTCTCCAGGCTGACTGGAGACTCCTCTCCGTGCCCAGGCCAGGAAGGAAGTGCTGATCCTGCAGGTGGGTGACACTGCAGGGTTCCCTGGAGAGCCACACTAGCCTGGTTCTTCTTCCTGTCCCTGGAGACGGAGGTTCCAAGTGGGGCTGTACGAGGAGCTGCCCGCGTCTCAGCAGGTCCCTTGTGGCCAAAAACCTGGACAAGGATGGAGATCCCAGACTGATCTCCATCCACCTGCTCTCTCTTTCCAGATGCTGTGCTGCAGTGCAATCTATAGCGGAGAGCTCACCCGGACATCTTGAGCGATTCTTCTTCCTGTCCCTGGAGACGGAGGTTCCAAGTGGGGCTGTACGAGGAGCTGCCCGCGTCTCAGCAGGTCCCTTGTGGCCAAAAACCTGGACAAGGATGGAGATCCCAGACTGATCTCCATCCACCTGCTCTCTCTTTCCAGATGCTGTGCTGCAGTGCAATCTATAGCGGAGAGCTCACCCGGACATCTTGAGCGAGGGGGAGGTCCAGCTCCCACCCCCTGTCCTCGCACCCTGACCTGAGGCACTTTACTGTTCCCCTCCTGCTGCTGCATGGGCTGTTCTGACTCCGGCTCCGCTCGGAGTCCAGACAAGTAAGGCTCCATGCGGCACATCCACACAGAGACGTCCCAGCCCCCGGAGCACAGCACAGACCCCAGCCTGTCCCGGCCCAGTGGAGAGGCACCCTTGGAGACTTCCTCACAGCGCTGCACCCACCGCAGCATCCTCATGGGCTACAACGAGACTGAGATCAAGCGCCAGAAGGTTTACCAGGTCTCCATCTTCTCCCACCTCTCCAGCTCCTCTGAGAGCACAGAACAGCGTGCAGGCAACCGGTCAGCCGTCAAGAGGGTTTACCCCGAGCAGCGAACTCCAGAGGGGGGGCGAGATCCCAAACGAACTCACTGGGGTGGTGCTGGGGTGGACAGCAAGCGTGACGGGGGGCCTGGGCAGGCTTCCCTGGACGATGACGATACCTTTGAGGATGGTCTGCTGGTGGAGGAGTTATCCCTGTGTGGCTCTGCCCAGCACTTCTCCCACAGTGGGCTGCGAGTGGTGGAGCACCGGTGTGAGAGCAGCCCTAGCCACAGCCCCAAGGCCAGTGGAGAGGACAAGTTGCAGGATGTCTCCTCCTCCTCCTGGCCCCAGCACATTGCTTGCAGTACTTTGCACATGAGAGATGGTTGCCCTGTCTCTTCGGGGGATCAGCCCACAGATTATGGGGCAAATGGAGAGCAGGCAAGTGGCCACAATTTACTTCACCTTGATTTGCACAATATTGCACAAACAGCCTGGCTGGACTCTGGTGGGAAGAGAGAGAAGCCAGGGAGCAGCCCAGCTCACAGCAGCAGGGCTAGTGGAGAAATGGAATGGCCAGTGGTGGCCAACGGGTGCAAGGAGCCCCCAGCTCCGCAGACAGCACTCAGCCCTGAGCCCAGCAACCTGAGCTCCCAGGAGAAGACGCCCTGTGGGAGCAGCCAGCTCAGCAGCAGCAGCTGCCCAGCCAAAAGGAAGTTACTGCCTGCTGGTGAGGTTGTGGCCGACTCCTGCTCTGAGGACGAGGGCCTGTCCCCACCAGCAAGGAAGAAGAGGGTCCTGCCATGCCATCCGGTGCCCACGGCCTGCCGCAGCACTGATGCCAAAGGGGCCCCTTTCTGGAATCACCTGCTTCCCACAGCCAAGGTGAGTGTCACTCATGGGGGGAGGCAGTAAATGACCTGGGGGACACCCTGAGCTTTGGGCTGGCCTCATGGATAATATGGTCCATCGTGGTACCTGCCCTGTCGTGTCCCAGTGCTGCAGCACTGGTGTGAGCAGGCCAGTAGCTGACAGCCAGCCCTGGGACACGCGGTCTGTAGGTTGTCACCAGCTCTCGACACCTTGTAGTCCCTGGATCCTCTGCTTGCAACCAGCTCTTTAGCCTGGAGAGCCTTAGTCGGACAGGACATGACCTTCCCATGACAGTGACAGTTGGACACATGGCATGGGGCCACACTCAGTGTCTGACAGCTTCATGTTAAGCTAGACTTACCAGCAGACTGGGGAAGAGTGGCTGGCCTCTGCCTGCCTGATGAGGTGGAGGGCAGAGGTGTGGGATGGCTTGGGTCCCTGACCATGATATCCATCAAAGAAAGGGTTTGGTGGCAAGGAGTGGGACTGGACGTGCTCTGGCCAAGGAGTGGGAGCCCCAGTGCTATGTGCAGAGATGCCACTGGCTTTTCTGCAGTTCTGGGGTGCCCATGGTGTATCGCCAGGATGCCACAAGCTGTCAGACTCTGGAGGTTTGCAACCACCCTGACAGCTCAGGATCTGCAAGCAATTCCTCCCTGCTTACCCCCTCCTCCTGACCAGCTCCCTGCCTTCACTGTGTCCTGACAGCTGAGGCTGCAGCAGGCTCATGCCAGAGCTGGTGTGCTCTTCTCTTTCC